AATTAACACTGACGTGTACACACTGCTCTGGTATTAATTACAAATATAATTGTAAAATGTAAGTCTCTCGCTCTTGTCATTATTCAGGCTTTGCATTTGAACTCCTATGACTGGTTGCGGATTTGAAGGGAACGACTTCCTAGCCTTCCTGACATCCCGGAAAAAGGTGAGATTCTAATCCATTTAATGCCAAAAGCAAGTTATTGTTTTAAACTTTTTGAATATGATTTTTTGGGGAATTTCAGTTTTATTGGATAGTAGAGATCTACTGGAAACAGTGGAGAGGGAGGAGATGATATGCAGCAAAAGGCCCAGCCGGATGGTTGCTGCTCCATGTGGAACGTGTTCTATCAGGTAAAGCACTTTGGTACCCAGTTATTTATGGTATTGAGTTTGAATTTAGCCTTTTTAATGTAATTTCCAACAGTGCATTGTAAAGACTGAAAAAACAGGCTCTGGGCTTAACAGGTTAAAGCTTGACATGATTTGGTGTTTACTTAAGAAGATGTTTGTCCTCCTGTGTTGTCTTATTTCCTTATCTTTCTTTCAGGTGTAACATCTACCAAGGGTTGTACATGACATAGACCTCCTCCACCTCTTTGCTGTCCTACTAGTCAACCCTTCTGATCAGAGCCTTTTCTAAATAGTGGTAAATTGTTTTACAGTTCAGTGTTCGTTAATTTAGCAACTTAATGCTTTACTGCTGTTGAATAAACCCTATATTGCTAGTGATTTTATTAAAACTATGATTTGCAATCTTTTTGATTCCAATTACAATAATCTTGTTGTTATAATTGGAAAACACATCTTAACATCCACCAGCAATCAATAAAACAAATCATCCAACACAAAATAGAAGAAATCTGGACCTATTTCTTTTCATACAACAGCATCTATTGGGACTGCTCATTGATGTCATCAAGGGCCATTGAGTCTAGCTTTTGCAGTCGGCCTCTTAGAATGTTTATAATTTCTTTGTCTCTTAACATTCCTATAATAATTAGTTTGTTGATTGTTGGTATTGTTTTGTTCTTTATTTTTGTTGTGAGAATCACTTTGCAATTGTGTAAGTGCTATATAAATAGTTATACTAATATTATTGTTGTTACCATCATTACTATTATTAATAATGTTTTCTTTGTTTTCTTTGTTTTCTTTATTCATCGCTGCAGAAAGCATCATGCCAGCCCACATCAAACACCTGATCAAGAACTTGTGAATCTTCAGGCAGAAAATATGAAAACACCTGTTCAAAATTCCAGTTCCCTGTACATGGAACCATGCCTGTCCTCTGTTCCACATGTCTTCAGTCAGTTCTGGACCCTATGACTCGGACACTAGTCCTACCAAGGCTCATTAGAGGTAAGCAATGGTAGGAGAGGAGTGGAGTTATCTTTGTATTTAGGCTGTAAGTCTTTTTTCTTATCATACATAGTGTTACTGTTTTTGTTACCATTTAAATATTGAATTCTATTAATTACTTTTATTTTAAATCAAATGCACCTGTTAATATATTTATTTTGATGTGTAGGTTGATTTGCAGGTTGGCTGTTATTTGTATAATTATTGTATTGTTACTGTGTATTTTATTATATTAACTAGCTATGTATTGCTATTTATTAAATTAAAATACTGTAATGAACACTATACAATGTCTTTATGTTGGTAGATACCAGAATACATGACACAATGAATCTTTGTAATATATTTATGTTATCTGGTTTAAATAATCATACCAGTATTTAAACAATGTATGCTGGTCACCTGGAATCCTGGTAAGCTTCCAGCATGGTATATTTAATACTATTATTAAACAAAAGCGGGTGATAGATGGATAAACCAGCCATCCTGGCCAGCTAAAGTGTCCAAAACCACTCTAAACCAGCCAACCATTCCAGCCTAATATCTACTGGCTGGTCAATTTACAACAGCCTGACCAGCTACATTGATCTAAGCTGGTTTTTTTCAGCAGAGTTATTATTATTTATTTACTATTTATTGAGAATCTCTATGAATTATAGTCAAATGTATATACCAGTCTGTGTTCTATTGCCTGAGCCAAGTGCACCTGCTACATTACGATTTATTATTATTGATTTACTATTTATTGAGAATCTCTATGAATTAAATGTATACCAGTCTGTGTTCTGTTGCCGCACCGGATCTCCGGGAGTAATATGGTCTGTGTTTACAGCATGCTAACACTCAGAGCTAACGCTGTACTGGAGAGAATATGTGTAACGTGATGTCCTTGCGGTAAACCCTGCGAGAGAGAAACGTTTGAGCTCCATACTGTTTCAGAAATAATGCTTGTAAGTGGTTTGGAGCATAATATAGCATTTAATCACGGCAGCGTTTAACTGAGTTTCTCCCGGTAAAAAACTCTCTTATACCCCTTTCACACCAACGCAACTCCGGTTCAAGCTCCGTGCTAGAGCTTTTCAGGTTCAGAACCGGTACTTATCGGTTTAGCTCCGGCTCTTTCACACCGCTCAGCAGCCCGACTGGTGCTGCCGCTGCGGCGTCATGACGTCACAGTTTACGTCGCTGATTTTCTCCCCAACGGAGCTCACCTCACAACAACAACGGGCCGGGAGACTTGCGTTGCTTTTTAATCATTACGAAGCCAGATTAAATTAAATAACGACTTCTTCCAACCTTATACTTTCTCCAGAGTGCCGTGGTTCATTGTTTATTAATGTGTTTCAGCGGCATTTACCGACCGCTGCAGTGCTGCTGCTCTTCCACGAGTGTATTCTCCCGTTAGCTCCGGGTTAGCTCACACGGCTCTAAAGTATTCACTGTCTGACTGTCACACAAGCAGCTGATACATATCCCCGTTCCCTTTAAGTGAATGTGTGTCAGTCTGAATTGACGCTGTTTGGCATCACAACGCTGTTATGAAAGTTTCTCTGGTATAACATGGGTGATGTTAGCATAGCAACCGAAGCTAAACTGACTACTTGCTAAGCCGTTTTCTACAGGCACTTTTTACCGACGTATTTTTCATTATGATTCTACTTGTGATAGTCGGACATGACAACCTGTGCAGCCCATGTATTGATTCCATCCGATAGCTGCTATAATAACAAACAAAACGTCTGCCTGCTCTCCACAATGATCAATAACAGCGAACGGATGGTCAAAGTAAGGTACAAATAAACAGAATCACACGAAGCCTGGTTAGTGTTGCCTGACTTTATAAAGTGTGTTTTTTTTTTAACAAGTGTGTGGTCGTTCTATACCCCATTCACACCAACGGTGTTTCGGGGCCGGTTCGGTGCTGGTGCTTGAAAAGCACCGGGTTTTCCTGTTCACACCGCAGCGGAGCAGCCTCTAAGCTCCGGAATCCGGTTCGTTTCGAGCACCAAAAAGTTGTCCGTGTAGAAGCAAGAACCGCTTACGTCGGAGGGGGGCGAGATTAACCTGAGATAACAGTTAAGGCGAGTACGGCAAATAAAAGTTGTAACCAGCAGTAATGCTGAGCAAAGTGACTAGAACGCAACCACACACTTGTAAAAAAAAAAAACGCTTTATAAAGTCAGGCAACACTAACCAGGCTTCGTGTGATTCTGTTTATTTGTACCTTACTTTGACCATCCGTTCGCTGTTATTGATCATTGTGGAGAGCAGGCAGACGTTTTGTTTGTTATTATAGCAGCTATCGGATGGAATCAATACATGGGCTGCACAGGTTGTCATGTCCGACTATCACAAGTAGAATCATAATGAAAAATACGCCGGTAAAATGTGCCTGTATAAAACGGCTTAGCAAGTAGTCAGTTTAGCTTCGGTTGCTATGCTAACATCACCCATGTTATACCAGAGAAACTTTCATAACAGCGTTGTGATGCCAAACAGCGTCAATTCAGACTGACACACATTCACTTAAGGGGAACTGGGGATATGTAACAGCTGCTTGTGTGACAGTCAGACAGTGAATACTTTAGAGCCGTGTGAGCTAACCCGGAGAATACACTCCCGTTGAAGAGCAGTCAGGACTGCAGCGGTCGGTAAATGCCGCTGAAACACATTAATAAACAATGAACTCTGGAGAAAAGTATAAGGTTGGAGAAGTCGTTATTTAATTTAATCTGGCTTCGTATGATTAAAAGCAACACGATCATCGACCCGACACAGTCCCCGGCCCGTTGTTGTTGTGAGGTGAGCTCCGTTGGGGAGAAACTCAGCGACGTAAACTGTGACGTCATGACGCAGCAGCGGCAGCACCAGTCGGGCTCTGAGCGGTGTGAAAAGAGCCGGCGCTAAACCGAAGAACCGGTTCTGAACCAGAAAAGCTCTAGCACGGAGCTAGAAGGGGAAAAGCCTTGGTGTGAAAGGGGTACTAGTCACTTTGCTCAGCACTACTGCTTGTTACAACTTTTATTTGCCGTACTCGCCTTAACTGTTAGCTCAGGTTAATCTCGCCCCCCTCCGACGTAAGCGGTTCTTGCTTCTAGACGGACAACTTTTTGGTGCTCGAAACGAACCGGATTCCGGAGCTTAGAGGCTGCTCCGCTGCGGTGTGAACAGGAAAACCCGGTGCTTTTCAAGCACCAGCACCGAACCGGCCCCGAAACACCGTTGGTGTGAATGGGGTATTAGCAGGGGAAAGCTGCATGACGCTACAAAGGGGCGTGGCTAGCAGCAGCTGTTCCATTTAAAGCAGAATCAGCCTTTTTGGAACAGGGCTGGAATAGAGGGGTATGATGCATGGCTACAATGGGTGATCTGTTTGGTATTTTAAGCAAAAAACTTCACAGACATGTTTTGTATAGGTGTGGCACTACAATATATTTTTCAAATATAGCATAATAGGTCCCCTTTAAGATCTGTCCAGTGTTTCTACAAAGGAAAACACTGCTGTTAGTTTTAAAACAATTCAAAAAACAATGCCTGGAAGAAGATCAGAGGACACACTGAGCCAATGACAGTTCATACAAGAGTAGAGACCCAGCGCCCCGACGGCCTAAAGCCGCTGCATGTGTTCGGCCTCTTACTTCGTACAGAGCTGGTCTGACTGGCTATCTGCAGTCCAGTTCTGGATCTTTCTCCACACTGGGGACAGGAGGAGTCTCCTGATGGAGGTCGCTGCTCCCAGTATGAGGTGATGCACTGTCTGCAGAACCAGTGTCCACAGCTGGTAGAGACTGGATCCTTCAGGACGTCCTGACACAGAGCACAGCTGGACAGCTGCTCCTCCACAGGAACACGACTCGTCCTCTTCCCTCTGTGGAGATGAACACATCCTTTATAGCTATTTACATTAGTGGAGCTGATTCTCACCAATGGTACAACAAGGTGGACAATTCTAGTTTAAAATATAAAAAAGGTCTATATCTGTATATAATATATCTTCGCGATCAGGTAGATAGTTTAAGCTTCACATTATTATACAAAGCATCCTGTCTGGATTCATCACCCAGAGGAGCACATGGTCACTGTATCTACTAAGACACACACAGTTGTATTAACCTGGTGCACTATAGCATTATAAACACAATTCACATAGAATTTGCTGTGAATCAATTGCAATAAACATATGGAAAGGATACAGCAATAACAACAATAACGATAATGCTCCATCAACACTCAGAATGACAGCAGTGATTATATTGTTAGTACCATAGACAGTCTCTGGTTTATACAGGAACATTAATAACCCTGATTTAATATGAGGTGCTGTAGAGCTCTGTTTTCCTTTCTGATTTCCCTCAGACCGTCAGAGACCACAGGAGCAGAATCTCAACACTGACAGGTTTTTGTAACAGAGCTTCACAAACTTTACACTCAAGTTGAAATGTTTCATGTTGCATGAATACGCAGGTGACATGAATTTAACATCTTCACTTTATTCGTGTTGCCAGGCACAGATCTGGGTCTTTGTATTGACTCTACATGTAATCTCACAAAACACTGTTATATCTACTAATGCTAAACACAACCAGCTGACCAGGTTATTACTATTTGTTAATAATACATATCATAAACATGCCCAAGTAGTCAAATAATGTTTTGGACAATTCATTTCATTTCATTTCAAACCTTTATTTAACCAGATTGGTCCCATTGAGATCATAGATCTCTTTTTCAAGGGAGACCTGCAGCATATAGGTTCCACATGAAACATAAAACAACATAAAACAATAAAGGACATCATACATTATATTTACAGGATACATTTACATAGTTATCGACATTTACAAGTACCCATAGTATCAACGAGCATTTCATTTAGCCTAGCTTTAAAAACATGCAGAGGAATGAGATTGCTCTGAACTGTCACCAACAGTTCGGAGGCGAGAGCGGGGAATGGAGAGCAGGCCCATGTCTGAGGACCGCAGACTCCGATAAGGGGTGTAGGGATGGAGGAGGTCTGATAAGTACTGGGGGGTGAGGGCATGGAGAGACTTGAAAGTGAGGAGGAGTGTTTTGTACTGAATCCGGGACTTGACCGGCAGCCAGTGAAGGTGGATGAGGGTGGGGGTGATGTGTTGCCAGGGCTTGGTGCGGTTGAGAAGCCTGGTGGCAGAGTTCTGGACGTATTGGAGCCTCTCCAGGGCTTTGCTGGGAACCCCGGACAGGACTCCATTGCAATAGTCGAGGCGGGAGGTGATGAAAGCATGCATTAACGTTTCTGCCACAGAGTCGGAGAGTGAAGGCCGGAGGCTGGAAATGTTTGAGGTGGTAGAAAGCCGATTTGTTGACAGATTTGATGTGCGCCTGGAAGGAGAGGGTGGTGTCCAGGGCCATTTCATTTTTTACAACATCCTCTGAGGGCCGTACAAATTATTGAACTCAACCTTTGCTAAAAAAATCACAGACCATTCATTTCGCCTTTCTTTCATGCTGTGCAAAGAAAAGGCAACCTCTTAATCCAGATATCTTTCTGTTTTATTTTCAATGTTTTTATGTTATCAAATGGTCTCACGGACCGTATACGGCCCGGAGGCTCCCCACCCCTGGTTTAAATGATCAGATTATATAAAAACTGAATCCTCTTCAGGTCAGTTTACAGTAGAAACAGACTCTTACTTTGTGTCTGAGGGTCCAGGTTCAGCACTGAAGACTAGAGGTTGAAACATAGACCAGTCACTCTTCAGAGACAGACAGCTTGGGACTGGAGACTCTGCTCTCTGTCTGTGGAAACAACATGTTTTATACATCATTAGTTAATTCAGAGAGACGCCTTTCTGTTTTAGCGTCGTGCTTGTGAAACGTTTTACATGTTTGTATTTTATTTGCTGAACCTAACACAAAGTCCAACATGTAGAGTGTGAGGATGATCTCACTACTAGATTATTTACCATCTCTGATGATGCCAGGGAGCAATAGTTCACTTTGTTACTGTACTCTGAGTTTCTTTACTGAGATCATTAAAAAGAAGTTTAGATTTTAGCCGTGTTTCTTATTTATTTTAGTCTTTCAGTTTTATTTTGAATTGTCTTTGTTGTTGTATGTATTTTTGTTATCTGTTGCCTCTAGCTTAATTAGAGGGTTGTGATATGTATGTTACTTTGAGGTATTGTATTCCCTGTAAAACCTGAAAAAAAAAAATGTAAGTTACAAAAACAAAAGAAGAAGTTTAGATTATCAGTTAACATCAAACTGACTGGGACTGGAGACTCTGCTCTCTGTCTGTGGAAATGACATGTTTTATACATCAAGGGCCGGTTCTAGCCAATGTGATGCCCTAGGCGATATTTTAGCTGGCGCCTCCCCCCCCCCCCCCCCCCCAGCCAGAGAATCGTACAGTAGAAAAGATAAATATCAATAGAGTATCCAAGGAATACACAATATATAAAGACTAAATGAAAAATCTCTACAAAAGAAAAATACACTACAAAAACAGAAACTTATTGACATAGGTTATATACATCAAAAAGGATTCAAATGTATTCAGTATTTTATGAACATGTTTGAATTGGGGGGTGGACGTCACATCCTCTAGGGGGGACCGGGGGTCTGCCCCCCCGGGAAGATTTGTTTGAACATTTTAAAGTAAAATGCTTCAATCTGGTGCACTTTGAGCACACAATTACTAGAGACCTGATCTAGGGGGTACAACTCTAAACACCCATCTGAAAAAGATCGGTTTACATTTTAATAATCAAATAAGTATGTGAACATAACCAATAACCTACCATCAGAGATGGGGTCGTTACTAAAAAAAAGTAATATATTACACTACTTCGTTACTCTCTACATAAAGTAACTCGTTACTTTACTCGTTACTTACTTACTCGCAGGGCCGGCCCGCCCCTCCCTACAGGCAGATCACGCAGACTGCTAAAGTTTCAAATGTTCTCTTTAGTTCAGTTTCCATTGTCGCATAAGACTGATCCAGATAGCTCTGACTATGGCTGTCCTCTGTCTCCTGCTATCTGTATTTTGCGCAGTATATCTCTGAACGATGCGATGGTGATTCCTGAATTATAAAAGTAATGCGTTACCTACTACTTCGTTACCGACAAAAGTAATATTATTACAGTAACGCGTTACACCCAACTCTGCCTACCATATCCAATAACAAATAAATGTAATTTTATTTTTGTTGTTCATTCATATCTTATTTTACCAGTTATTTTATTTATGGCATATTTTTTTATCTCTCCAGTTTAAACGACATTTTTGGTTTACTGTCCTACAGTATACATTTGAATGATTTCAAACCTGTTTATCCCAATAATTATGAAGGAGTGCCTTGGAAATATTTGTTTACATAAATTGTGATCAAAACCTTTGAGACCCACTGAGATAACTTAGACTAAAGTTAACTATCTAAACACTCAGATACCTCATTCACACCAACGCAGACTCCGGTTCAAGCTCCGTGCTAGAGCTTTTCAAGTTCAAAACCGGTTCTTCGGTTAGCTCCGGCTCTTTTCACACCCGCCCAGAGTCCGACTGGTGCTGCGTCATTGCGGTCATCGTTTGCGTCATGACGTAACCGTTTGCGTGCCTGCTTCATAAAGCCAAACCGCGCGGAAACCCCTCACAGCTCACAACCGACAACAACAACAATGGCCGATTGTGTTGAAGCGCTACTCGTTTTGGTTTTGCTCTGTCGAAACGAAATGGAAGAAATGGGACGACTTTACTACCAACTTTACAGTCGTTACATGCTACATTCAAAACTACTTTACAATCGTAATCATCAACTTCAACGATGATTCTGATTCCCCCTGCCCCTGCCCCTGCCCCCGCCTCGACGTAAGCGTGAGGTTGCGGTGCTTTTGCTCTAGCCGGACAATTTTTTTTGTGCTCGAAACGAACCGGATTCCGGAGCTAAGAGGCTGCTCCGCTGCGGTGTGAACAGGAAAACCCGGTGCTTTTCAAGCTCCAGCTCCGAACCGGCCCTGAAACACTGTTGGTGTGAATGAGGTAAGTGTCCTTTACCTCACTGAGCTGTAGTTATCAGCCTCATCAGTCTGACTGGAGAGGACGCTCCCTCCACATTATTGTAGAAACATCTTCTTATATCCGTTAGAGCAGCACCAGATTATAATAACAACAGCGCCGGTACCAGGTGCGCCCTCCCTCTCTTCCTTGCTCGCTCCCATGCTCGCTCGCACTTTGGCTGTGAGCTGTGGGCGCCAGATAAGCCAACATCCCCCAGTTTCATCACTTACAGTGCCCATCGTACAGGGCAAATTAAAGGTGTAACCGGGGTGAAAAGGGTGTTACATTTACTTAATTATGAATATTGTTACATCAAGGCCGAAAATTAGGATGAGCACCAACGGTCAAAAATGTTTTTTTTCCCTCCCAGAGCTATCAGCGCAGCGCCTCCCCAGATCTGGCGCCCTAGGCGAATATCAATCACGCCAGTGCTACGGGCCGGCCCTGCCTGAAATACTTGGTATCGTATCGAATCCAGATTTTGTGGTATCGCCCACCCTTAAGAGAGAGAGAGAGAGAGAGGTACCGGGGATTGTTGTTGTTAGCATCTGGTTAGCTAGCTATGCTAACAAATATAAGGAGCTTTTTCTACAACCAGGTGGAAGAGAGCTCTCTCCTGTCAGACTGATAAGGTTTCTAATTTCTCTAATTCCCCTCCTCGACTCCTATCCTCGTGTCTTAGTCCCCGCCCACAGGAGATGCGAGCGGAGGAGTCGAGGAGGGGAACCGAGGAGAGAGGAGGGGAAGCAGCAGGCGGTTAGAGAAATGAGAAATCCTCTCCTCTGAGCGGTCATTTTAAAGAGACGTAAATTAATGATGACAGGAGGCACAGCAGCACTCTGTCTGATGGACAGATGTGTTCATGACGACTTATACATTTACTTGTAATTCATTCACAGTGCAGTATAATGAGACAATAACAGGCTACAGATGCGGACATATATACACACACACACATATATATTTATTAGGGCTGTCAAGTTATTAACGCGTTAATAACGCATTAACGCAAAAAAAAAAATAACGCCACTAATTATTTTAATGCGATTAACGCATGTGTATTTTTTGTCCTCGGCCGCCGTAGTTTCAGAGCGCATGGAGTTTAAAATACCATCGACAAGCTGATGCTGACAGCCCCGCTCCTACCGCCCGCTTGTGGCAGACCACACTTCCACGCTCACTGGCAGGCCCGGACTGGCCATCGGGAGGACCGGGAGGGAGTGTGTATGTGTGGTGCGACTCGCGCGAGCGAGGCACACCTTACGTGTTGTTGTTGTTAGCATCTGGTGCTAGCTAGCTGCGCTAACGGATATAAGGAGCTGTTTCAATGACATTTCGCCGACAACTGCGCCGAGCACTTGACTTTATGCAGGTAGCCAGACAGTGGGACATTGTACGAAAAGTCAGCACACTCAGCACGGATAATGCGCGCAACATGATTGCAGCATCCAGGCAGCTCCCGTTGGAGCATATATGCCTTGAGCTGCACATAGCTCCTCCAACGATCCATCACAGTGTCTCCACACACACACACACACACACACACACACACACACACACACACACACGCACACACAATTATTGTATGAGAGAGGTTCCAGGTTGAATTGAAGCGAATATTTGTAATGTTCAGAGGTTGTTGTGTTTAATATTCATGAGAATATTTGTCATTGTTCAAATGATAATAAACAAACATATAAAGCATATTTGTCCACGCATATGTTGATAAGAGTATTAAAAACTTGAAAGATATCCCTCTAAGGTACATTTAGAACAGATAAAAAATGTGCGATTAATTTGCGATTAATCGCGATTAACTATGGACAATCATGCGATTAATCGCGATTAAATATTTTAATCGACTGACAGCCCTAATATTTATATAAATATATACAATTTCAGAATCAAACAAGGATGAGAGCACTCATCCTTGGATATATTAATTTAGCTCTCAAAGTGCACCAGATGGATGCTTTTAACTTCAATATTAAAAAGAAAAATCTTCCCGGGGGAGCATGCCCCTGGACCCCCCTTGAGGAGGTTAGGTCCCCCCCCCACTTAAATCATGTTCACATGGATAGGATACTAAATACATTTGCACACATCTTATTTCCATATATTTCTGTTTTGGTGCTCATGCCACAACCGTGCATGTGCATGCATGCGCGAGTCATAGTGAGTGTCTGCATTTTGGTCCTTACGCCTTTTACACACTCTCTCTAAAAGCATAACATAAAAACTTTGAAAATAAAACAGTAAGATATCTGGATTAAGAGGTTGCTTTATCTTTGCTCAGCATGAAAGAAAGGCGAAATGAATGGGCTGTGATTTTAGTTTTTTTTAGCAGCGGTTTGAGTTCAATAATGTGTACAGCCCTAGGAGGATGTTGTAAAAATTGAAATGGCCCTTGAGAGGAAAAAGGTTCCCTACCCCTGCTTTAGTTGAAAGCCCAGTGGTGATCTTCTCATCGGTCAATCGAAAATAATATGCTACAGCACAGTACAGTACAACTACTTCTGGGTCTCTGCGTGTCATACAAGCTCGGCTCTGTGTGTGTGGCACGAGCGCATTGTGTGTGAGTGAGCAAGCGAGCAAGAGAGAGAGAGAGAGAGCGCACCGGTACCGGGAATTGTTGCTGTTAGCATCTGGTTAGCTAGCTATGCTAACGGATATAAGGAGCTTTTTCTGCAACCAGGTGGAGGAGAGCTCTCTCCTGACAGACTGAGAGGCTCAAATAACCTCAGCTCAGTGAGGTAAAGGCACACCTTTATATGATCATTATACATGTAGATATAAAACAATAGAGAATAAATGAAAAACAGGTATGAAATACTATATGACAGTAAAACAAGAATACCGTTTAAAAGGGGAGTGATTTGTAAAAATATCCATAAGAAAAAGCGCATCTGTTTACAGTTCTGTTTAATATGGGTGTTGACAGATGTATCCATAGATCTATTAATTTTGCTCTCAAAGTGCATTGATGCTTTTAACTTCAATATTTAAAAAAAAAAGCCTGCCTGTTGTATGATAAATTGGATGTGGATGTTTTCATATGGATGGGAGCATACTTGGTGCTCATGTTTCTGTTTGTTACATTTAATTCACCCGTTGTGACATTTGCTGTTAACACATTGCAAGTTTATTGCTGAAGATTGGTGCTTAATCATCATTGGTGATAAGTGATTTAAACTCAGATGTGAATGTTTTCATAAGGATGGCTGCTTTCTTTTAAATGTTGCTATGCACTTTGATGTAATAAAATTACAGATCCATTGGAAATGTTGATGTGATGTCATAATTGCAATTAATGATAATCTTAATAATGTGGATTTTGGCACACTGATCACATTTCTTTTTCTTCATATCAAAAAGGTTGCTGACCCCTGATGTAGAGTGTGATAAAGATTTCACTCGTAGATTATTTACCATCTCTGATGATGCCAGGGAGCAACAGTTCAATTACACTTTGTTACTGTACTCTGAGTTTCTTTACTGAGATCATTAAAAAGAAGTTTAGAACTGAATCCTCTTCAGGTCAGTTTACAGCAGAAACAGACTCTTACTTTGTGTCTGAGGGTCCAGGTTCATCACTGAAGACTAGAGGTTGAAACATAGACCAGTCACTCTTCAGAGACAGACAGCTTGGGACTGGAGACTCTGCTCTCTGTCTGTGGAAACAACATGTTTTATACATCATTAGTTAATTCAGAGAGACGCCTTTCTGTTTTAGCGTCGTGCTTGTGAAACGTTTTACATGTTTGTATTTTATTTGCTGAACCTAACACAAAGTCCAACATGTAGAGTGTGAGGATGATCTCACTACTAGATTATTTACCATCTCTGATGATGCCAGGGAGCAATAGTTCACTTTGTTACTGTACTCTGAGTTTCTTTACTGAGATCATTAAAAAGAAGTTTAGATTTTAGCCGTGTTTCTTATTTATTTTAGTCTTTCAGTTTTATTTTGAATTGTCTTTGTTGTTGTATGTATTTTTGTTATCTGTTGCCTCTAGCTTAATTAGAGGATTGTGATATGTATGTTACTTTGAGGTATTGTATTCCCTGTAAAACCTGAAAAAAAATGTAAATTACAAAAACAAAAGAAGAAGTTTAGATTATCAGTTAACATCAAACTGACTGGGACTGGAGACTCTGCTCTCTGTCTGTGGAAATGACATGTTTTATACATCCAGGGCCGGTTCTAGCCAATGTGATGCCCTAGGCGATATTTTAGCTGGCGCCTCCCCCCCCGCCTCCCCCAGCCAGAGAATCGTACAGTAGAAAAGATAAATATCAATAGAGTATCCAAGGAATACACAATATATAAAGACTAAATGAAAAATCTCTACAAAAGAAAAATACACTACAAAAACAGAAACTTATTGACATAGGTTATATACATCAAAAAGGATTCAAATGTATTCAGTATTGTATGAACATGTTGGAATTGGGGGGTGGACGTCACATCCTCTAGGGGGGACCGGGGGTCTGCCCCCCCGGGAAGATTTGTTTGAACATTTTAAAGTAAAATGCTTCAATCTGGTGCACTTTGAGCACACAATTACTAGAGACCTGATCTAGGGGGGACAACTCTACACACCCATCTGAAAAAAGATCGGTTTACATTTTAATAATCAAATAAGTATGTGAACATAACCATAACCTACCATCAGAGATGGGGTCGTTACTAAAAAAAAGTAATATATTACACTACTTTCGTTACTCTCTACATAAAGTAACTCGTTACTTTACTCGTTACTTTACTCGCAGGGCCGGCCCGCCCCTCCCTACAGGCAGATCACGCAGACTGCTAAAGTTTCAAATGTTCTCTTTAGTTCAGTTTCCATTGTCGCATAAGACTGATCCAGATAGCTCTGACTATGGCTGTCCTCTGTCTCCTGCTATCTGTATTTTGCGCAGTATATCTCTGAACGATGCGATGGTGATTCCTGAATTATAAAAGTAATGCGTTACACTACTTCGTTACCGACAAAAAGTAATATTATTACAGTAACGCGTTACACCCAACTCTGCCTACCATATCCAATAACAAATAAATGTAATTTTATTTTTGTTGTTCATTCATATCTTATTTTACCAGTTATTTTATTTATGCATATTTTTTTATCTCTCCAGTTTTAAACGACATTTTTGGTTTACTGTCCTACAGTATACATTTGAATGATTTCAAACCTGTTTATCCCAATAATTATAAAGGAGTGCCTTGGAAATATTTGTTTACATAAATTGTGATCAAAACCTTTGAGACCCACTGAGATAACTTAGACTAAAGTTAACTATCTAAACACTCAGATACCTCATTCACACCAACGCAACTCCGGTTCAAGCTCCGTGCTAGAGCTTTTCAAGTTCAAAACCGGTTCTTCGGTTTAGCTCCGGCTCTTTTCACACCGCCCAGAGTCCGACTGGTGCTGCGTCATTGCGTCATCGTTTGCGTCATGACGTAACCGTTTGCGTGCCTGCTTCATAAAGCCAAACCGCGCGGAAAGCCCTCACAGCTCACACCGACAACAACAACAATGGCCGATTGTGTTGAAGCGCTACTCGTTTTGGTTTTGCTCTGTCGAAACGAAATGGAAGAAATGGGACGACTTTACTACCAACTTTACAGTCGTTACATGCTACATTCAAAACTACTTTACAATCGTAATCATCAACTTCAACGATGATTCTGATTCCCCCTGCCCCTGCCCCTGCCCCCGCCTCGACGTAAGCGTGAGGTATGCGGTGCTTTTGCTCTAGCCGGACAATTTTTTTGTGCTCGAAACGAACCGGATTCCGGAGCTAAGAGGCTGCTCCGCTGCGGTGTGAACAGGAAAACCCGGTGCTTTTCAAGCTCCAGCTCCGAACCGGCCCTGAAACACTGTTGGTGTGAATGAGGTAAGTGTCCTTTACCTCACTGAGCTGTAGTTATCAGCCTCTCAGTCTGACTGGAGAGGACGCTCCCTCCACATTATTGTAGAAACATCTTCTTATATCCGTTAGAGCAGCACCAGATTATAATAACAACAGCGCCGGTACCGGTGCGCCCTCCCTCTCTTCCTTGCTCGCTCCCATGCTCGCTCGCACTTTGGCTGTGAGCTGTGGGCGCCAGATAAGCCAACATCCCCCAGTTTCATCACTTACAGTGCCCATCGTACAGGGCAAATTAAAGGTGTAACCGGGGTGAAAAGGGTGTTACATTTACTTAATTATGAATATTGTTACATCAAGGCCGAAAATTAGGATGAGCACCAACGGTCAAAAATGTTTTTTTCCCTCCCAGAGCTATCAGCGCAGCGCCTCCCCAGATCTGGCGCCCTAGGCGAATATCAATCACGCCAGTGCTACGGGCCGGCCCTGCCTGAAATACTTGGTATCGTATCGAATCCAGATTTTGTGGTATCGCCCACCCTTAAGAGAGAGAGAGAGAGAGAGGTACCGGGGATTGTTGTTGTTAGCATCTGGTTAGCTAGCTATGCTAACAAATATAAGGAGCTTTTTCTACAACCAGGTGGAAGAGAGCTCTCTCCTGTCAGACTGATAAGGTTTCTAATTTCTCTAATTCCCCTCCTCGACTCCTATCCTCGTGTCTTAGTCCCGCCCACAGGAGATGCGAGCGGAGGAGTCGAGGAGGGGAACCGAGGAGAGAGGAGGGGAAGCAGCAGGCGGTTAGAGAAATGAGAAATCCTCTCCTCTGAGCGGTCATTTTAAAGAGACGTAAATTAATGATGACAGGAGGCACAGCAGCACTCTGTCTGATGGACAGATGTGTTCATGACGACTTATACATTTACTTGTAATTCATTCACAGTGCAGTATAATGAGACAATAACAGGCTACAGATGCGGACATATATACACACACACACATATATATTTATTAGGGCTGTCAAGTTAACGCGTTAATAACGCATTAACGCAAAAAAAAAATAACGCCACTAATTATTTTAATGCGATTAACGCATGTGTATTTTTTGTCCTCGGCCGCCGTAGTTTCAGAGCGCATGGAGTTTAAAATACCATCGACAAGCTGATGCTGACAGCCCCGCTCCTACCGCCCGCTTGTGGCAGACCACACTTCCACGCTCACTGGCAGGCCCGGACTGGCCATCGGGAGGACCGGGAGGGAGTGTGTATGTGTGGTGCGACTCGCGCGAGCGAGGCACACCTTACGTGTTGTTGTTGTTAGCATCTGGTGCTAGCTAGCTGCGCTAACGGATATAAGGAGCTGTTTCAATGACATTTCGCCGACAACTGCGCCGAGCACTTGACTTTATGCAGGTAGCCAGACAGTGGGACATTGTACGAAAAGTCAGCACACTCAGCACGGATAATGCGCGCAACATGATTGCAGCATCCAGGCAGCTCCCGTTGGAGCATATATGCCTTGAGCTGCACATAGCTCCTCCAACGATCCATCACAGTGTCTCCACACACACACACACACACACACACACACACACACACACACACACACGCACACACAATTATTGTATGAGAGAGGTTCCAGGTTGAATTGAAGCGAATATTTGTAATGTTCAGAGGTTGTTGTGTTTAATATTCATGAGAATATTTGTCATTGTTCAAATGATAATAAACAAACATATAAAGCATATTTGTCCACGCATATGTTGATAAGAGTATTAAAAACTTGAAAGATATCCCTCTAAGGTACATTTAGAACAGATAAAAAATGTGCGATTAATTTGCGATTAATCGCGATTAACTATGGACAATCATGCGATTAATCGCGATTAAATATTTTAATCGACTGACAGCCCTAATATTTATATAAATATATACAATTTCAGAATCAAACAAGGATGAGAGCACTCATCCTTGGATATATTAATTTAGCTCTCAAAGTGCACCAGATGGATGCTTTTAACTTCAATATTAAAAAGAAAAATCTTCCCGGGGGAGCATGCCCCTGGACCCCCCTTGAGGAGGTTAGGTCCCCCCCCCACTTAAATCATGTTCACATGGATAGGATACTAAATACATTTGCACACATCTTATTTCCATATATTTCTGTTTTGGTGCTCATGCCACAACCGTGCATGTGCATGCATGCGCGAGTCATAGTGAGTGTCTGCATTTTGGTCCTTACGCCTTTTACACACTCTCTCTAAAGCATAACATAAAAACTTTGAAAATAAAACAGTAAGATATCTGGATTAAGAGGTTGCTTTATCTTTGCTCAGCATGAAAGAAAGGCGAAATGAATGGGCTGTGATTTTAGTTTTTTTTAGCAGCGGTTGAGTTCAATAATGTGTACAGCCCTAGGAGGATGTTGTAAAAATTGAAATGGCCCTTGAGAGGAAAAAGGTTCCCTACCCCTGCTTTAGTTGAAAGCCCAGTGGTGATCTTCTCATCGGTCATCGAAAATAATATGCTACAGCACAGTACAGTACAACTACTTCTGGGTCTCTGCGTGTCATACAAGCTCGGCTCTGTGTGTGTGGCACGAGCGCATTGTGTGTGAGTGAGCAAGCGAGCAAGAGAGAGAGAGAGAGAGCGCACCGGTACCGGGAATTGTTGCTGTTAGCATCTGGTTAGCTAGCTATGCTAACGGATATAAGGAGCTTTTTCTGCAACCAGGTGGAGGAGAGCTCTCTCCTGACAGACTGAGAGGCTCAAATAACCTCAGCTCAGTGAGGTAAAGGCACACCTTTATATGATCATTATACATGTAGATATAAAACAAATAGAGAATAAATGAAAAACAGGTATGAAATACTATATGACAGTAAAACAAGAATACCGTTTAAAAGGGGAGTGATTTGTAAAATATCCATAAAGAAAAAGCGCATCTGTTTACAGTTCTGTTTAATATGGGTGTTGACAGATGTATCCATAGATCTATTAATTTTGCTCTCAAAGTGCATTGATGCTTTTAACTTCAATATTTAAAAAAAAAAGCCTGCCTGTTGTATGATAAATTGGATGTGGATGTTTTCATATGGATGGGAGCATACTTGGTGCTCATGTTTCTGTTTGTTACATTTAATTCACCCGTTGTGACATTTGCTGTTAACACATTGCAAGTTTATTGCTGAAGATTGGTGCTTAATCATCATTGGTGATAAGTGATTTCAACTCAGATGTGAATGTTTTCATAAGGATGGCTGCTTTCTTTTAAATGTTGCTATGCACTTTGATGTAATAAAATTACAGATCCATTGGAAATGTTGATGTGATGTCATAATTGCAATTAATGATAATCTTAATAATGTGGATTTTGGCACACTGATCACATTTTTTTTTCTTCATATCAAAAAGGTTGCTGACCCCTGATGTAGAGTGTGATAAAGATTTCACTCGTAGATTATTTACCATCTCTGATGATGCCAGGGAGCAACAGTTCAATTACACTTTGTTACTGTACTCTGAGTTTCTTTACTGAGATCATTAAAAAGAAGTTTAGAACTGAATCCTCTTCAGGTCAGTTTACAGCAGAAACAGACTCTTACTTTGTGTCTGAGGGTCCAGGTTCATCACTGAAGACTAGAGGTTGAAACATAGACCAGTCACTCTTCAGAGACAGACAGCTTGGGACTGGAGACTCTGCTCTCTGTCTGTGGAAACAACATGTTTTATACATCATTAGTTAATTCAGAGAGACGCCTTTCTGTTTTAGCGTCGTGCTTGTGAAACGTTTTACATGTTTGTATTTTATTTGCTGAACCTAACACAAAGTCCAACATGTAGAGTGTGAGGATGATCTCACTACTAGATTATTTACCATCTCTGATGATGCCAGGGAGCAATAGTTCACTTTGTTACTGTACTCTGAGTTTCTTTACTGAGATCATTAAAAAGAAGTTTAGATTTTAGCCGTGTTTCTTATTTATTTTAGTCTTTCAGTTTTATTTTGAATTGTCTTTGTTGTTGTATGTATTTTTGTTATCTGTTGCCTCTAGCTTAATTAGAGGATTGTGATATGTATGTTACTTTGAGGTATTGTATTCCCTGTAAAACCTGAAAAAAAAATGTAAATTACAAAAACAAAAGAAGAAGTTTAGATTATCAGTTAACATCAAACTGACTGGGACTGGAGACTCTGCTCTCTGTCTGTGGAAATGACATGTTTTATACATCCAGGGCCGGTTCTAGCCAATGTGATGCCCTAGGCGATATTTTAGCTGGCGCCTCCCCCCCCGCCTCCCCCAGCCAGAGAATCGTACAGTAGAAAAGATAAATATCAATAGAGTATCCAAGGAATACACAATATATAAAGACTAAATGAAAAATCTCTACAAAAGAAAAATACACTACAAAAACAGAAACTTATTGACATAGGTTATATACATCAAAAAGGATTCAAATGTATTCAGTATTGTATGAACATGTTGGAATTGGGGGGTGGACGTCACATCCTCTAGGGGGGACCGGGGGTCTGCCCCCCCGGGAAGATTTGTTTGAACATTTTAAAGTAAAATGCTTCAATCTGGTGCACTTTGAGCACACAATTACTAGAGACCTGATCTAGGGGGTACAACTCTACACACCCATCTGAAAAAGATCGGTTTACATTTTAATAATCAAATAAGTATGTGAACATAACCAATAACCTACCATCAGAGATGGGGTCGTTACTAAAAAAAAGTAATATATTACACTACTTCGTTACTCTCTACATAAAGTAACTCGTTACTTTACTCGTTACTTTACTCGCAGGGCCGGCCCGCCCCTCCCTACAGGCAGATCACGCAGACTGCTAAAGTTTCAAATGTTCTCTTTAGTTCAGTTTCCATTGTCGCATAAGACTGATCCAGATAGCTCTGACTATGGCTGTCCTCTGTCTCCTGCTATCTGTATTTTGCGCAGTATATCTCTGAACGATGCGATGGTGATTCCTGAATTATAAAAGTAATGCGTTACACTACTTCGTTACCGACAAAAGTAATATTATTACAGTAACGCGTTACACCCAACTCTGCCTACCATATCCAATAACAAATAAATGTAATTTTATTTTTGTTGTTCATTCATATCTTATTTTACCAGTTATTTTATTTATGCATATTTTTTTATCTCTCCAGTTTTAAACGACATTTTTGGTTTACTGTCCTACAGTATACATTTGAATGATTTCAAACCTGTTTATCCCAATAATTATAAAGGAGTGCCTTGGAAATATTTGTTTACATAAATTGTGATCAAAACCTTTGAGACCCACTGAGATAACTTAGACTAAAGTTAACTATCTAAACACTCAGATACCTCATTCACACCAACGCAACTCCGGTTCAAGCTCCGTGCTAGAGCTTTTCAAGTTCAAAACCGGTTCTTCGGTTTAGCTCCGGCTCTTTTCACACCGCCCAGAGTCCGACTGGTGCTGCGTCATTGCGTCATCGTTTGCGTCATGACGTAACCGTTTGCCTGCCTGCTTCATAAAGCCAAACCGCGCGGAAAGCCCTCACAGCTCACACCGACAACAACAACAATGGCCGATTGTGTTGAAGCGCTACTCGTTTTGGTTTTGCTCTGTCGAAACGAAATGGAAGAAATGGGACGACTTTACTACCAACTTTACAGTCGTTACATGCTACATTCAAAACTACTTTACAATCGTAATCATCAACTTCAACGATGATTCTGATTCCCCCTGCCCCTGCCCCTGCCCCCGCCTCGACGTAAGCGTGAGGTATGCGGTGCTTTTGCTCTAGCCGGACAATTTTTTTGTGCTCGAAATGAACCGGATTCCGGAGCTAAGAGGCTGCTCCGCTGCGGTGTGAACAGGAAAACCCGGTGCTTTTCAAGCTCCAGCTCCGAACCGGCCCTGAAACACCGTTGGTGTGAATGAGGTAAGTGTCCTTTACCTCACTGAGCTGTAGTTATCAGCCTCTCAGTCTGACTGGAGAGGACTCTCCCTCCACATTATTGTAGAAACATCTTCTTATATCCGTTAGAGCAGCACCAGATTATAATAACAACAGCGCCGGTACCGGTGCGCCCTCCCTCTCTTCCTTGCTCGCTCCCATGCTCGCTCGCACTTTGGCTGTGAGCTGTGGGCGCCAGATAAGCCAACATCCCCCATTTTCATCACTTACAGTGCCCATCGTACAGGGCAAATTAAAGGTGTAACCAGGGTGAAAAGGGTGTTACATTTACTTAATTATGAATATTGTTACATCAAGACCGAAAATTAGGATGAGCACCAACGGTCAAAAATGTTTTTTTCCCTCCCAGAGCTATCAGCGCAGCGCCTCCCCAGATCTGGCGCCCTAGGCGAACATCAATCACGCCAGTGCTACGGGCCGGCCCTGCCTGAAATACTTGGTATCGGATCGAATCCAGATTTTGTGGTATCGCCCACCCCTAAGAGAGAGAGAGAGAGAGAGGTACCGGGGATTGTTGTTGTTAGCATCTGGTTAGCTAGCTATGCTAACAAATATAAGGAGCTTTTTCTACAACCAGGTGGAAGAGAGCTCTCTCCTGTCAGACTGATAAGGTTTCTAATTTCTCTAATTCCCCTCCTCGACTCCTATCCTCGTGTCTTAGTCCCGCCCACAGGAGATGCGAGCGGAGGAGTCGAGGAGGGGAACCGAGGAGAGAGGAGGGGAAGCAGCAGGCGGTTAGAGAAATGAGAAATCCTCTCCTCTGACCGGTCATTTTAAAGAGACGTAAATTAATTATGACAGGAGGCACAGCAGCACTCTGTCTGATGGACAGATGTGTTCATGACGACTTATACATTTACTTGTAATTCATTCACAGTGCGGTATAATGAGACAATAACAGGCTACAGATGCGGACATATATACACACACACACATATATATTTATATAAATATATACAATTTCAGAATCAAACAAGGATGAGAGCACTCATCCTTGGATATATTAATTTAGCTCTCAAAGTGCACCAGATGGATGCTTTTAACTTCAATATTAAAAAGAAAAATCTTCCCGGGGGAGCATGCCCCTGGACCCCCCTAGAGGAGGTTAGGTCCCCCCCCCCACTTAAATCATGTTCACATGGATAGGATACTAAATACATTTGCACACATCTTATTTCCATATATTTCTGTTTTGGTGCTCATGCCACAACCGTGCATGTGCATGCATGCGCGAGTCATAGTGAGTGTCTGCATTTTGGTCCTTACGCCTTTTACACACTCTCTCTAAAGCATAACATAAAAACTTTGAAAATAAAACAGAAAGATATCTGGATTAAGAGGTTGCTTTATCTTTGCTCAGCATGAAAGAAAGGCGAAATGAATGGGCTGTGATTTTAGTTTTTTTTAGCAGCGGTTGAGTTCAATAATGTGTACAGCCCTAGGAGGATGTTGTAAACATTGAAATGGCCATTGAGAGGAAAAAGGTTCCCTACCCCTGCTTTAGTTGAAAGCCCAGTGGCGATCTTCTCATCGGTCATCGAAAATAATATGCTACAGCACAGTACAGTACAACTACTTCTGGGTCTCTGCGTGTCATACAAGCTCGGCTCTGTGTGTGTGGCACGAGCGCATTGTGTGTGAGTGAGCAAGCGAGCAAGAGAGAGAGAGAGAGAGCGCACCGGTACCGGGAATTGTTGCTGTTAGCATCTGGTTAGCTCGCTATGCTAACGGATATAAGGAGCTTTTTCTGCAACCAGGTGGAGGAGAGCTCTCTCCTGACAGACTGAGAGGCTCAAATAACCTCAGCTCAGTGAGGTAAAGGCACACCTTTATATGATCATTATACATGTAGATATAAAACAAATAGAGAATAAATGAAAAACAGGTATGAAATACTATATGACAGTAAAACAAGAATACAGTTTAAAAGGGGAGTGATTTGTAAAATATCCATAAAGAAAAAGCACATCTGTTTACAGTTCTGTTTAATATGGGTGTTGACAGATGTATCCATAGATCTATTAATTTTGCTCTCAAAGTGCATTGATGCTTTTAACTTCAATATTTAAAAAAAAAAGCCTGCCTGTTGTATGATAAATTGGATGTGGATGTTTTCATATGGATGGGAGCATACTTGGTGCTCATGTTTCTGTTTGTTACATTTAATTCACCCGTTGTGACATTTGCTGTTAACACATTGCAAGTTTATTGCTGAAGATTGGTGCTTAATCATCATTGGTGATAAGTGATTTAAACTCAGATGTGAATGTTTTCATAAGGATGGCTGCTTTCTTTTAAATGTTGCTATGCACTTTGATGTAATAAAATTACAGATCCATTGGAAATGTTGATGTGATGTCATAATTGCAATTAATGATAATCTTAATAATGTGGATTTTGGCACACTGATCACATTTCTTTTTCTTCATATCAAAAAGGTTGCTGACCCCTGATGTAGAGTGTGATAAAGATTTCACTCGTAGATTATTTACCATCTCTGATGATGCCAGGGAGCAACAGTTCAATTACACTTTGTTACTGTACTCTGAGTTTCTTTACTGAGATCATTAAAAAGAAGTTTAGAACTGAATCCTCTTCAGGTCAGTTTACAGTAGAAACAGACTCTTACTTTGTGTCTGAGGGTCCAGGTTCATTACTGATCTTCGGAGGTTCCCTTATAGACCGGTCACTCTTCAGAGACAGACAGCTGGGGACTGGAAACCCGTCCTCTTCCTCATCGTTTGAATCACTCATCTTCTCCAGTCTGAGAGAGATACCATTAACACTGAAGACACACACACATGGTAGATTCAGAGGTAGATAAAATAGCTAACTGTGATAGGTCTAACTCTAAACGTGTGTTTTGCTCCGCTCACAGCGGGCAGAGCTGTGTACTTTCTAAACAGCGTATGTTGTTATATAACGAACTTGCTCAGCCTTTGAAACTGAAGCCATTAAGCGAGAAACATTTTTTGTTTTTCCTGGCAGAAAGTGGAATAACAACAGTGGAACAAAAATTACATTAAAACATCGGCATTGGCCAAATTGTTATTCTTAACATCGGCAAAGAAATGTAGCATCGGTGCATCCCTATTTACAATACTTGCAGAAGTCTCATTGGAGTCTAGGACGCTGATGTTCTGACATCCAGTTTAACAGAGTAAATAATGAATGTGTTAAAAAGCAGATCCTGGTGTTAACACTCACCCTGTTGTCCTCCTCCTGCTCCGTCCAGGTGTAAAATGGCGTCTGGCAGTCTGACTTCATACTGTCACTTTAACATACCTCACCTGTCTCAAGGTTCAAGGCTTCAAGGTTCAAGGCTTTTATTAGTCATACGTGCATAGCTACAGTGTAGTTATGACGATGACAATCTTAGGTCACAGGCTCCTCCAACAGTGCAACACAATAAAACAGATCAACAGAAAAGAATAGTGCAAGTAAATAGTATATACAAAAGGAAAGATAGTAAAATAGTGAAATAGTGCAAGTGATTGGAATGATATATTCGATAAATAATTCCTAAGTAGCAGCCAGATTAATGTTATGATGTTGTTTCAAGTTCAGGTGTTTAATAGTCTTATTGCCTGTGTCTGTACACTGTTGAGATCTCCATATTAGGTTGAATACTTAAAATGAAAGTTAATTATAATCAAATATAATCAATTATATTCTTGTATAACCCACAATGAAAATGCTTCATATTTTATGATTTTCTATATTTACAGTTTGAACAAAACACAAGTGGTTTGTTAAATTGAGTGTGTAAGGCCTATAATGGTTTATGGGTGTCACTGATAAGAGAGGAGAGACAGTTTATTCCCTCTTCCTCACAGCAGTACACAGGGAGGGGGGCTCCTGACTTAGTGAAAAAGAACTGAGGCCCCAAAAAGGTGTTTGTGCCATAGCCGAGAATAATATTTTGCAAGTCCTGCACACTAGAGGTCATGGCCTTTTTACACAAATATGGGTATGGAGGAGGTGTCTTTAGGTTTTTCTGTCCTGTTTCGAGCATAAAAACACTAGGAGAGAGGGAGCAAACTTGAGAGAGGGGGGGGTTCCCCTGGTAGCTCTCTCCCGGTAAAGCTCTCTCTCTGGGTTTTTGCTCTCGGTAAGGTTCTCTCAAACTTGGTAAATATCTCTCGAATTTCTTTGTTGAATGCGGAGTGAATTTCTTTGTTGAATGAGCGGAATGAATTGATGTGTGTTGAAAGTTTAGTACCCTGCCACCTGTGAGGAAAGGTCCTCCGAATTCATGCGGGACTAGTTGAAGTATACGAATGTGAATTGTGTAATTAATTGATGTTTGTTGAAAGTTAGTACCCTGCCACCTGTGAGGAAAGGTCCACCGAATTCATGCGGGACTAGTTGAAGTATACGAATGTGAATTGTGGAATGAATTGATGTTTGTTGAACATTAGTACCCTGCCACCTGTGAGGAAAGGTCCTCCGAATTCATTAGCCGCGTTCACACCAAGTACTTTGCCGTACTTATTTCCAAGCACTTAGTTCCCAGCACTTAGTTGCCCTATGGAACTAAGAGCCGATCGCGTTCACACCGGAATAAGTTCCCTGAGGGGAAGATTACGCAAATGAGCCGCTGACGTCACTTCGTCTTCTTCTGCTTTGGGTTTACTGGCAGGCCGCAAACAACTTCACGGCGCATACTGCCACCCGAAGTCCCCGGCCGGAAGTCCCCTGAGTTGGGGACTGGCTTCAGTAGAAGCCTTCCGAGTAAATCACCAGAACGCCGACACCTCCTCATCTCCACCGCTCCCATGTTTTATTTTGTGTTGCCATAAGTTAGTCTCTCTGCGTTTGTGCGCTGGGCGAATGCTAATGCTAATAATGCTAATGTGAGGATAATAAAATGGCGGCTCTACAAAACATTTCAGAGTTGTACGGGGCGTGGTTTGCAATTCGCCCAGCCAATCAGAACTGGGGCACTTTTTTCCCCCAGGAAAGTACCATCTCTCAGCAGGCACTAAAAATGGGGGTAAAAGTTCCCGGCACTAAGTACTCTTTTTGGTGTGAACGCGACATAAGGGGTACTAACGGAACTAAACGCGAAAAGTACGGGGAAAAGTACGGGGAAAAGTACTCCGGTGTGAACGCGGCTATTGGGGACTAGTTGAAGTATACGAATGTGGAACTGATTTGTTGAATGAAAGTTTGAATGTGCTTTTTATTATCACCGGTCATTTATGAGGAGATGCCTCTGTCACAACTGAATTGGGCAGTTGAAGTTACAATTTAGTGTAATAAATGTAAAACTGTGAATTGAGGTTTCATATTAGAACATGATCACAGCATGATATGTTTTGTAGGATTGTCATGTTGTAACGAGAGAAGGTAGAAACCCTGTATAAGTATAGACCAATTTTTTTGGTTTGGGACAACTTAAAAGACATCTGTGCTTTCCTCTCCTGCTTAAAAGGTAAGATTGCACACTGCCACACTCACACTTAGGTAGGGCCACACCTCATTACTGATATCAAAATCCTTCGGGATCGCTTAAACAGATTTAGCGGGTCGTCTGAATTGAAACAGCAGTTAATTGAACCTGGTTCTCCAGAAGTTAATAGGATACCCACCCCCACCCCAGCACAAGGGGAACACTTTTGCTCACACCAATAAACAAATCAACTCTTAACCAAGTCAGATTTCAAATAGACATAGCTCCAGTTGTTAAGAAAAGAGGGAGATTCAAAAAGTTATCCTTTTAAACACCAGAACAAAAAGATCAATATCAAAAAACAAAACAGTATGTTGTGACCCATTCTCAGCAACTAACAATGCGAGACATGGATAAAGCTTTGGAAGTTCATCTAACCACGAATGATTTAGGAGGAGGTGTGGAGATAAGGAACCAGGGTGATACAAAATCTGTGTTATTCATGTCCATGACTTGGTCAAGAACAGAGGAAAAATTCTCACCTTAAGAGAAGCATCTTGCACTTGCATTCAGATTTTATCCAGCCCTGCGGGAAATGTCTCTAGGTACCAAAATGTGCATATACAACCCTTACCCTTCAATATCTTAAGCTACTAAACAAACTGTTCAGGGTGCAAAAGCAATGATGAGTAGATGGGGAAATTGGAAAATGATGATGTCTGATCCAGATGTGGAGTTTGGGACCTCGGGTAGTAAGCCACTTAGGGAAACAATGAAACCCTTGACAAAAAACCGCTGCTCCCAAATTAACTCTGTTTACAGATGGGAGTTTGCGAAAAGGTGACCAAGCAGCTACTTGGGCCTTTATAATGAAAACTAATTCAGGTGAATTACTTTGCAGACAAAAAGGTGTGATTCCGGGTACAGCACAGTTGAGGGTCTTCTTTTTACAAAAAAACGTAAAATAACACACATCTGTATTGTTACTGTTAGTCATTATTGTTACAAAGCAGGTAAAGAAGAGCTTGATTATTGGGAACAAAGGCAGTTTACCAATGTGAAAGGTGAAGCGCTAACACATGCCCATCAATGGAGTCTTATTGCAGAGTTAAGAGCAGGCATGTACATATAGTGTAATCATGTTCATAGCCACACAAGTAAGATTGACTATCAAGGTAAATGAAGTTGATGCACTTGTTCAAAGCAGGGGACGAGTTAACCACCTGACTGCCATATTTCCTAGTATATGGAAAAAAGGTGGAAGCATTCATGGGCCTCCTGTAGAAGCTCCGCAGATTGTCCGTGAATTACACAGCAGTTTGGGTCATATGGGCCTTGTTCGGATGAGAACATATTGTTTCAACAATAAATTCTCATACCAAAACTGCGACTGCACTTACAACACACACGGATCAACATGTCATCAATGTGTATGAGGTAGATGGGTTCAAGAAAGTTCATCCTGAACATTATCATAAAATAACAGTTTTAGTGCTGATATAGCAGGTCCCTTTCTGACCTGCACTTCCAGTGGGAACAAGTATTGCCTTTTGATCTGTGATAATGGAGGGACTCATAAACATGTTTATCCTCTGACCAGAGCGACAGGGAACACAGTGTCTGCTAAAATGGCAGAACATATAAGTATAATTCCTAAAACTGTGAGAATAAGAATGGATAATGCAACTCACTTTAAAAATGAGAACGTTTTGTCACTCTTACAGTAAATGGGAGCACACCTATCTGGTCATTACCATATAAGTATCAGGCGTTAGAGCAGCCAAAGGATGGATCATAAAAAACTGTAAAACAAATTGGGACATTCCAATCAATTTGACAAGGCTGAATATATTCCTATGTATGGAAAAGCTATAGGGCAAAGGTCAGGTCATATCTAACTATCACACCTTTTCCGTTTAAGTTCAGAAATCGTGTATGGGTGACTAGAAAGGGGCGAAGTCCAGAAAAAGGTGAGCTTAAAACTAAATTAGAAGGTTTGGATGTAGTGTCCTCAATCTCTGGACACGTAGTTTCACTCCAGAGAAGGGCCTGTTCACAAGCTAACTGGGTTTAGAATCCAAATAGGAATATGACTGCGGCCTACCCAATCCACTAATGATGCTATCAGTCTCACATCACATGACATGTTTTGCGCACACACATTGGCAGTTAATGTGCTTTCTTCCACAGGACAGGAGGGCTTATTGTGGGATCTTCCCGCAAGAATTTAGAATTTGTCTTGGTAAGTTGTGTACCAAGGGATATTTTATAGAGCAAAAGAGGGAATTTAAATCTTAGTAACAAGCAATATCTAAATTGAAAGCGATTTAGTATTACAACTGTTAGAATCTTTAGTGCATTATGCAAAGACAGAAGCAAGACAAAACTCTGTCCATCAGTATAAGGATCATTAGACCCTTAATGGAGAATACCTCAAAATCAAAGAGGAAATGGTAAACAACCTTTATTTATTTGTTTCTCATTGTTTTTAATTCCATTATTATTTTTCTCTTCACATATTGTTAAATTGTTATATGCCTGCACATTACAACAGGATTCATTTAAATTAGATTTTTTGAGCACATCTCTCCCCCTTTTCTTTGCTGGTTTTCACACAGCATGGAGGTGTAGGGCTGTCAGGTCGTTAAACTGATAAGAGTAAATTATGGCCCAGTGCTTTCTGCCGTTAGAGGCCAACTGAGTAAGAGGAAGAAACAATCACCCTGGTGTCTTGAAATTCCAGAGGAATATGGAATGCAGGAACCCCCGTGATGAAATTCTTGGGGAAGTTTTTTCAACTGAAACATCTCTTAATGAATCAGATAAATAATTTATACTTGATCTTAAAGGTAGGGTAGGTAAGTTTGAGAAACCGGCTCGAGATCGCTAGAATTTGAAAATACAAAACCGGAGAAAATCTGCCACTTCCTTATAGAGCCCCTCCTCCAACACACACAAACGCGCACATGACCA